ACGCACTACCGGCGCGCATTGCCAGCGGCACGCGACCCGACGCCACCCGCAAGCACCCATCTCCGCCGAAGGCGCCCACCCTTTTCACGGCACAACGCGCGCCCGAGGTTGCTCATGCGTGTGCAACGGCAGCGCCCCAATAGGAGGAGTTGCGATGGCCGTGAAGAGGATACGGAGGAGTCCATGCCGAGACTTCCTCGGCGTGAAATGCGCAGTGTCTGCACCGCCCCCCAACCCTTTGTCGCGGCTTGCGCACACAGAGGGCGCCCTTGCCGGCAGATTCCAAGACAGGGGCGGACCAAAGCACAAAAGCGCGCCGTGGCTTCGCAACGGCCTGTGCGAGGGGACGTCGGGGCACGCCCTCTCCCGCCCGGTCCTTGCGGCCTGACGGGCCAGCTTCGGCCTGGAGGGGTTGGAGGCACCCGGGCCCTACTTTGGCCAGCCACTCGCCCGGTTCCTTGGCGACCTCTTCGTTCTGGCAGGCCCTGAGCTGCCCTTGACCAGCAACGGTGCGGATGTCGCCGCCGGTTTGCCGGAGGAGGGGGCGGCATTATTTTTATAGTTTACTTCGTTTTTATTCGGCTTCGCACTCCCATTCGGAGACGGTGGAGGGGTGTGTGTTAAAGAACGCCGGTCGTAAGCTGGTTCTCTTCGGCAACATCCCTGCGGAGGCAAGGGATGCGGCAAGCGAGCCCGAATTCAACCTCTGCATCCGTTGCGCGACGGCGAAGGTGCCACTGTTGCAATCCTCGCAGAAGGGTGATGGGGCTCCGTGTGCAGGGGCAGAATAGTTACGGTGGGGGAAAAGAACAAATGGCGCCGGTGTAAGTTGATGTGGGAGGACGTCGCGCGGCAGACACACACTGAGCAACAAAAACGACACAATGGGCGTCCACGCGCGACGGCACGGCAGTTGTGCTCCGTGCCCCCGTGACGGTTTTCGCAATGTAGCATGTGTGGTCCACTGGCCTTGCGCGTGCCTCGTGCGGCGCTGGTGACTGACGCACGGGATGCCGGGTGGGTGTGAGAGCGGCCCGCTGCGTTCAGCCCTGCCTCTTCTCCTTTTTGTTGATCTGCATGCTTTCTTTGGTTCCTTTCCTTTGCGCCCCACTCCGCGCCAACCACGCGCGGCTGCCGGCTGCATCCGCGGCCCTGGTGCCATGCATGCGTGGTCCCCGCCGTGGCCTGCGGGAAGCCTTGTTTGTATTGCGCTGCCGTGATGCCGTGCGCGCCCCCACTGGCGCTTTATCCTCTCCTCCTCTGCTTCCTGTGCACCGTGCCCTCCTCTTCTCTCTTCCTCACTGCCGTAGGAAGCTACAGGATAGACAGCAAGACAGTCGCAAGGCAGTGGCTATGGCGGTGTGTTGGAGGCGGCGTGGCTGCAGTGGGCACTTTGGCTCGCGGCCCTCTGCGGCGTCGCCGTGCCTCCTCCTCCTCGTCCTTCTGCTGCTGCTGCTTCCGTTGCCCCCGCACAGCGCAGCCGCCGAAGCAGTAGCTCCTGCCGCCCCCGTGAGGGTGCTGCTGCTGAAGCGAAATGATTTTGGCGCATTCACTTCTATGTCCACTGCTTTTTGCGCCGGCGTGTATGCCTCGCTGAGGGCGCACAACTCCACGGCCGCGGGCGACCTTCGGGTTGAGATTGTCGAAAGCGAGACGAAATTGCACGAAATACCTCACCGTCCTGGAGAAAGTGATGCAGAAAGAAAAGGACATCCTCACTCTTCTGGCCCAGTTCGGTGATGCTCCCGTGAAGAAGGTGCTTCCGGTCTTGCCTCGCTATGGCCTCGTCTCTTTTGCCCCGTTTACTGGGTCCACTTTGGTGCGTGGGTGGAACCCCAACGTGTACTTTGTGCGCGCTGATCCTGCGACAGAGCTGCTGGCACTTCTCCGCTACGCCGTGGCTGAGCTGCGGGTGCTTCGGCTGGGCTTCATGTACCTGCAGGGTGTCTCCTTTGGCGATCGCGAGTACGAGCAGGCACAAAGTGTGATGTCGGCGATGGGCTACGCGCTGAGCGGCGTCTTCACCGTGAAGAGAGCTGCGCAAGGTGGCGCCGACAACAGGGAGTTTGACGAGGCGTGGGATCAGTTTGCCGCGACTCGGCCGCAGGCTGTGATTGTGTTTGGCTCGCCTTATCCGGAAACCAGGAAATTCATTGAGAAGATGCTGACGGACAGGAGCACCGCT